TGTCCCCTTTGGGTTTTACCAGATCAGAAAAATGAGTTACTTAAGACAGGTGAGGGTCACCTGCTTCCGAGCTTTCTATCCTAAGGGTGGCCCTACTTTGGGCTCTATGCTCCAGGCTCCAGCATTGCAACTAAAGCAGTGTGGTCTGCACAGGGACCCCAGCATCTTGTAAGCTCTTGTTCACTTCCGATCCAATGTGGACTTGATTTATCTGCTTTGGGTTCTGCTTGGCCTGTCAGATGCAGTAGTTCTTATTAAACAGGTAAGAGGGCCACAGGTACATACCAGCTGCTGAGCATCCAAAGTCATGGGAAATGATCAGAGTTCTGTCACCGAGTGGACAGAAGCAGGCCTTGCCCCTGGCTCTACAAAGTCCTACCTAGCATGGGCACAGTGGTATGCCACGTGATCCCAGTATCAGCAATGGCCTGCCTTTGCTCTAACACTCTTGATCTGATATTCTGACCCCACGCATGCACTAGGATACACACACATACACAGCTCTGGGGAGGCTGGAGACCCAACACCTTGTGATATCTCTGGGGATGTTTCTCAAGGGAGTCCTGCCTCTCCTTCAGCTTTGATCCCACATCAGCCTGAGGCTTACAAATGGGTAAGACTCAGAGCTTCCCACAAGAGGTTGGCCTCAACCTCTGCTGTCCAGTTCATGCTTGGTTCTGAGTACATATTCTTGAAAACTTGACCTTGAATGTTATATGGTCCAGGACCAGTTCCCCCCAGATCTTGCTGGCCACACCCCTGAGATGCCCTTGGACCTACAGTTTATCAGGGCCTCTGGCAGAAGCTTGCCATTTCTCTGCTAGCTCACAGTCCATTAGTTCAAGAACCTGATCTTACTATACCTCCTCATACTTCATCCTGTCCTGACTCAGCCCTGGCGACCATCTCAAGAACCTGCAGATGGAGCACCTAAGGCCCTTGTTGCCATCTGACTGGGAGGGAACCAGGTTCTTCCCAGAACCCCAGTGCTGCCACCTATTCTCTGGGACAACTCCCCAGAAGCACACTCAAACAAGGGACCTGGGCTGCTATGTTGTTTTGTTTCGGATTTTTGAGACAGCTCTGACTCTCCTGGAACTTGTTCTATAGACCAGGCTGACCTGAAACACTGAGATCTGCCTGCCTCTGCCCCCAAGACGCTGGGATTAAAGGTGTGTTCCACCACTGCCAGCTATTAAGGATGCTCTTCCCAGTAGAAGTGAGAGACAGTAACAGGGACTGGGGGTGGGGGATGGGGGGGAGAGGCACCCAACCAAGCTGCCTCTTCAGAGAAAGGCTCTGCTTAGCCAGGTCAGCAGGGACATAGTTTGTTCATTTGCAGTTCATGGTAAGAGCCCAACCCAGCCAGTCCTTGGCTTGAGGATCACTTAGGGGAGGCATTCCCAGCTCAGCATGTGGGGACAAAGTCCCCTAAGGAAGTTCCTTCTCCATCTTTCACATTACTGTTACCAGACATGAACTACTATGGCTTCAGTTTGTTCTTCTGGCTTCTCTGGAACCCTTGCATCTTGTCAGTATTGTCCACCACTGTCCTTTTGACATGCTGCCTCCCTCCCCAAACTCTGAGCCTCTTCTATCTACCCACAAAGTACCTTCTTTGCACAGCTCCACTTTCCAGCTCATTATTCAGTCTTGCCAGCCTATACAAGGGCATCTGGTCATGAAGAAGTGCACCCTAAGGCTCGGTTTTTAGCTCTCTATATTCAACTCAGTTCTTGCCATTGTTGTGTGCTTTTAGTAGTCTGCTGATTTCTGCATCCAACATTTTTTAATACTGTTTTTAAAAGCTTAAGAAAACAACAAACAAACAAACCAAAACCCAGTATACATGCTTCAGCAGGAATTCCAAAGCATTGCGTCTTCTGCTGATCCCAGCTGACAGCTTGCTTCTCAGTGCTCCTAACTTTCCATTGGATGCTGGTGGACCTGCATCAACTCCTGCTTCTCCAGAAGGGACACTCTTATTTCTACACAATCTGGACAAATTCTGGACTGCATGACTGTGAACCACGCATGACCCAAGACAGCAGGAAGAAGCCAAATCATGAATTCCTATTGTTTACCCCTTGCTTTCTTGCTCCTGTCAGGTCGTCTTTTCCCTAGCTTGACCTGAGGGTGAGGATCTTACTCTTCTAACACCCTAGCTTGACAACAGTCCCATTCATGAGCCAAGGCCCTGTCCTGGATGCAGGACTGTTTTCAAATGCCTTGTACCTGGGGCTTCAGACCTGTGTCCATCCACACATGCCAGTACTGTGCCTCATCTCCAGAAAAAGCAGCAGAGGCCAAACCCTCCTGACCTGCTGAAATGAAATGCAATTTTCACTCTACCCTGATGGTGTCCTCCACTTTCTGATGAGCACTTAGGGAAGTGACATTTGTCTTAGAAAAGCTTTTGAGAATACATGTCCCTTATCAGCACCATGTCCAGTGCTGACACAAACTTCTGTCAGCAGTTTGGAGCACAGTATTAAGGGCTGAAGACCACACACACTTTGCAGAGTATTGCTTTCAGGGTGATGCTCACTCCCAGGGTAGCCTCCCCCGGGGTGCTCACTGCTAGGGTGCCTTCCCCATCTACTCACCTACTTCAAAGAGTGCAGACAGAAGAGGCCATACCAGCTGCTGCCTCAGCACATACCTTACTGCTATAATGAAGGAAACATCCAACATGACCATGACCTCCCTACCAGGCCCCACACGAAGAAGGGCAAGTAAGCTGTGTGCACCCTGCTAGCCTTCAGAGTTTAAAGATAGCTTGAGAAGAATATCACATGGGGACTAATGGCCATGTAGGGAGATACAATGGGCCCTCTGAGAAATGGTGGGAACCCAGAATGGGCTAGAAGAGAGAGGTCAGAAGCATAATAAAGTCAGGAAGTGATATTGTAACAGCCAGTAACACAACAAAAGCACTGGATGCTGCCAACCCCTGCAGAGTCCTGCTTCTCATTGGAAACACCCATACTGAGTACCTGGTTCATACAGAGCCAGCCCCAGGCTTGTATTCTAAATCACCTTCAGTGCTGCTCAGCACAAGCCTGTAGTGGGTCATGAACAAGGGAGTTTATTGGTTCGCTGTACTGGCAAATTGTGGGTTTTGTTAAACAAACAAACAAACAAAAACACCCAGGAACAAAAATGGTAAACATTTCCTTAAAGGACTTTATTTTTCTATTTTATATAGACGACTTATTAAATTAGAAGGCTGAAAAGTAAAAATATATCATATAATCAAAGAAAAATCTGGACATGGACCCCATCCCCAAGAAAACCACAGACATAAGAGTTCTGAGAACCATTCCCACCAACCTCCAGACAGATGATACCAGTATCTGTAAAGAGTGACCTGGGAGGGAGAGGGCAGAACCCAGTCACACAACTCTTTTCTCAATCAGGTAGGTGTCATTCACATGGTGCGATGAAAGCCAGTGGCCACATCAGACCACAGATGTGCAGCAGGTTACAACTTCAGCCAACCAGCATGTCCACAGGATAAACTATTCTGGGCCATACTCAGACCCATGTCCACCCTAGAGCTGGCTTGAGGGCAGGGGCTCCAGTGATCACTGTGTGAAGCTTTGCTACCACTTTGAATGTTCAAACTTGGCAAGAGCAGCAATGACACCCAGTGAGAGTCTGGACTGCACCCAGAAGCCTGTCTACATCTGCTATGGCTTCTGCTTTCCAGGTGTATCAACTTTTCATCTCAAGAAGTCCCACTAGGATGGGATGGAAGGTTAAGCAAGCCATGCTGGATGCCTAGGCTCCTAGACAGGCACTGACAAGCTCTGCTTCTTCCCTTGTACTAGATGGGCTCTGACACAATCAAATTCCAAGACAAGACAGCACAAAACCTAGGAGAGTGGGGTCTCACTCAGGCCTTATAAAATGTGGTCTTCCTTCAATCTATTAAAAAAATAAAATGTTCATGACAAAGAGTCTGTGTTCAGCTCAGATCTTTCACTCTTCCCCATTTGAGCAAGTTAATGAATGATGCCTCTGAGTGCCATGGGGGCTGCTCAGGGGTTGGTAGCAAATGGTGATGCTCCCTCCAGAACCTCACATGAACAAAATGGTCCTTGCTCAACCCATACCTCCTTAAGGCAGAAGCTGATGCACATAGCCACAACTGAGACCTAGAGACAGATGCTGAGGTTCCTGCTCTGCAATGTCTCAAGTCTACTGGTAACACTAAGTGGACCACTTAAGAAGGTCATGTCCTGCTTGACTCATCTACCCTACAAGTGGGTATCTGCTTACCAAGCACAAGGCCACGCAACAGTCTAGAATGGAGACTTCCTGTGTCTGGCTGGGTTACAGTGAGTGGTTGAATCTATTTAACAAACATTGGTCTTCTCCATTTTGCAGTTAAAAGGTTTAAAGACTTACAACTAAAGAAAAGTGCTTGTTACCATCCCATGCCCACCATCACCACATACTGCCTTTGGGCTTACAAAAATAAATACTTAGGAACAATACATTTGACAAAAAGCACCCCCATGGATGACAGAAAGTAGTATATTTTAGCTGACATCAAAACTTAATCTGTGTTTTTAAAGGGGAAAAGACCAAAACTGAAGTACTAACTTTCTTATTTTAAGTCTTTCACAAAGTCCAACTGCTAGAAGTTACCTTCATGCCCATATTGGTGGACCATACATCCAAAGGCTGGGTGCAAACTCTTGGAAAAACAAGAAGCAACTGCAATGTAAGGCAAACCTGTAACACCACAAACATGTGACAATGCTTGCTAGCTTCTTAATGTACCTGTACAATGTATCAATTCTGAGAAAGCTTTCAAGGCTTTGAATCTCAGGACCAAGTGTCACCCATTCGGTCCCTAAACAGATCTACAGGTCATGGGCCCAAAGGTTTGAAGCCCAAAATATAATAATAATATATATATATATATATATATATATATATATATATATATATATATATATATATATATATTACCTAAGTACAGGTACCTCTACCTCCATGAAGGTTTAATTTAAGCATGGGATTTTTATCACTCAAGCTGAGCTACAGTATGGGTCAACAGAGTCTGCTGCAGGTCAGTAGTGTCACAATGCCCGAATGCCTTTTAGTAGTAAATACATAGCGCCACACCTGCCCATCTCTCTCCTTCAGTTGACTCTGGGCTGTGTGAAGTAGGCCTATCAAGAAGAAAGCCCCTGGAGTAATTCCCACAATGCTAGTACAAAACAGAAGGAGGTGGAAAGCAGCCTCTAGCAGTGAGGGCCAAGGTGGGGCCTGTCCAGCCAAGCACCAGGTCTGGACACCTTCTGTGTTCACGTTGGATTCCTGTGGCTGAGGCCTAGCCAGACACTGATGGGTAAGCTAGACAAGAGGTCAGACCTACTGGATATGTCTGGGAATCATATCTTATAGGCCCAGGAGTAGAAGAGGGCTTGGGTTCACATATGACATCAGAAGGAAGGAGCTTTTAACTTGAGAGTTCAAAAAATAACCTGCAAGTAAGTGCACACAAGCTCAGTGCACCTTCCACAACCATCCCAGTTAGGCTGAATAACTTCGTGACATCCATTGATTAAGAAGGATGGTGTACAAACTCTAATGTCCTGGCAGGGGCAGCTGCTTTTTGTAAGAATGCTTTCCAGAACAGGGTGAGGGAGGAAGATGTAGGTCCCTAAACAACAGGACCACTGGTCTGTGCAGTAACAAGGCCATGACACCATCACCCAATTAGAGACAAGGAGGGAGCTTTCCCCCACCAACAATGAAGAGGACTGCCTGCCTAGAACCAAAAACCCACATGCATCCCCCAAATAGGTGGGAAAGGGCGGCACAGATGTCCAAGGAAGGGGTACACGGATGGTCTTTCATTGGAATCTTTTGGGGATGGTGACCCTGGGGAGCCTTGGGTGGGCAAGTCCAAGGGTCGGTGGTGTGAAGCCAAGGGCCACAGATGGGTCTAGGATTCTTCACCCATTTGCAGCAAGGAATTGATGGCAGCATCCTTGTTCCCTCTCTGGGCTTCAAGCACAGAGCGGATTACTTCCCTGTCCATGTTGGGAAACATGTCCTGGATAGCCTTGAGGTCCTCCTCATTACAGCGGGGCTGAGGAGCCACAGCTGGTGGGGGCATGGCCACAGGTACCATGCCAGGGCTGCAAACAGCAGGCATCCCTAAAAACAAAAGATGAAGTTCAGTTAAAAAAGAATGGGGTCAGCTGGGTGTGGTGGTGCATGCCTTTAATTCCAGCACTTTGGAGGTAGCAGATGAATCTCTGATCAAGGCCAACCTTGTCTACAGAGTGAGTTCCAGGACAGTCAGGGATACAGAGAAATCCTGTTCCCCAAAACCAAAAACAGTGGGGCCACAAAGCAGCAGTGCCAAAGGGAGAAATAGCACATTTGACTTCCCTAAGGGGAAAGGCTACCTTGAATCTAATTTTAAAACAGACCCAACGAGGTTGCCCATGGCAGATGGGCTGGGCCATCTTCCTCACCACTAAGGTCTCCTCTCCTGATATATTTTCTTTCTAAACAAAAATTCAAGTTGGGTCTTTCCAATCAAAAATTACAGGGAACAAAATGAAAATTTGGTAACCATATATGCTACTTCAAGAACTTAGGACAGTTGTCACAAATATGTCTTTATTGAATGGGGACAGCAAAGTATGCTTGTTTCACTCCATACTCCAAAGACTGCTTGTGTCAACATTTTATAATTTACTTTCACAGCCTAGCAAAGACATTACAGTAACTATGCATGTGTTGGTAAGGTAAAGCTACATACAACAGGCCCTAAACATTTACATTTCAGAAAGGCTATTAGCCTTTCACAATGAAGACAATACACACATCAGAAAGTGCATGTTTTCAGCAGCCTAACGGACCAGGGAAGCCAATCCTTTTGCCATATGAGCAACATAAGGCTGCTGGTGGAGGGCTCAGTACTGATGCTACATGGCTCCCTGCACCATGCTAGATGAAAAGGCACAAACTGAGAAACTGGTTTCCTAAGTACCCTCTGGGTCAGGCCTTTACCTTTGTGGCTTTGTCCTGACTGACCTGGACAGGTTCTAACTACACCTTGCTGCTCAGCCTTTCAGTGATAACAAAAATGAGAATGAAATGCTACCCTTCTCTGAGGATAGTGGACTAAGCCTGTTCCTAAAAGGATTCAAACAACTTCAACTGGATGGATACACAACCTGTGCACACACACAGTCACTGCCACAACAACATAAGGAAAGGTGCATGACTATAAACAGCCCAGGCAACTTCCTTTGAGTTCTGCCCAGATTGTTTCAATCGTCCAGGGAAGAGGGAACTGGGAACTGCTATAAAACCTACAGACCAAATGCATGGGTCAGCATAGGTGAGTTGTCTACAGTCATCTGCTCTCATAAACCAGCTCCCTGGGGAGCAGGCCAATGTGTAAAAAGAAATAAGACTGGCCCTGGAGTCTTCTATCCTCCAGAGTGGACACCATAGTCCCATACTTTGACTTATCACCATGACTGAGTGTAGACTAGTTTCTCAAAATGTCCTTGAATTTGTGAGATGTGGGGCGACCAGTCAACTTTGTGGGTAAGATGGACAGGAGCTCTGCAGTCTTGGGCCCTAAACAAGGTCCTCTCAGAGGTTCAAGTGGGTACAGGGAGGAGAGCCATACAGATGGAAATGAACCCATAACCCACTCTAAAGTGCTTCAATAAGAGCAACTCAATGGCATCATCTTATGATAAGACAAGATCCTTCCTCTTTATAAATGGACACAAACTGATGGTATAGGAACAACTCATTTCTAAGCTACAATGCACACACTATGGAGACAGTGGGCAGGCACAATTCAGTTAAACAAGAGTCTCTTCATCAATAGAAAACACAAGCAAGGGAGTTTTCCATTCAAGAACTGGTGCCACAGCATGGCAGCACAGACAGCCTGGGCCCCACAGTGGTTTCACTGCAACAGCTCAGAACCAACAACCAAAGGTCCCTGATACTTTAGCTGCTGACTCAGGCTGCATATCATGGGACATTTCTAAGCTCTCAAACTAGAGGATTCACACACACACAGCTAACTCCTGATCCTTAACCTTCAGCCTCAGTTCAGCAAAGCTGTTGTGATTTTGAATCCAGAACCTCATACACAGAGAACAGGGTCTATGTCTCCTGATATGCAAAGGCAGCTGACACCTACTGGCTATGTACTGCTCCCTGGGCACATGTCAGGGATAGATCAATGAACAGTGAGAACAGACTAACTCATGAGCCTCCTCATTCCCATTCTGTTGCTAACAGACTTATTTCATTCCACTGTCAGGTGCTTAAGTGCAGTCCTTTGTCATACATGGTCTGTAAACATGTACCTGGCACCCTGAATAGTCAACTATGTGAGTCTTTCCTAAGAGAGCAAACTCTGAAGGACAGCTATGGAGCTAATATGAAGCAAGAAGCATCATGTGACTTGACCTTACTTTTGAGAAGCTGGAGAGCAACAGTGAATAAAAATGCACTGAATGAGCTATTGCTCCTGCTTCTGTGGACTGAGATAACCTGAAAGCAACTACACAGACCAGATAGCAGCCCCTGTCAGTCTCTACACAGGACACTCCAAATAATCTGATAGGATGACTCTGTCATCATAAACACAGGAATTATAAGAACCAAAGTTGGGCATCAAGTTTCAAATGAAGCAGTAGGCTTATTAACCCTTCCAATGATTAAGATAAACAAAAAACAATTCAAGAACTTTTCTAGAACTGACTCTCCATTAGTGGAAGCCAGGGTTCAGGGAGAAGTGGCTAATTCTAGGGTGGAGGAAGGAAATGCACAAGATAGCCAGAGGTTTCCTGTGTCAAAGTCAGGAAGTTCACATAGCATGTAAGACATCAAAAACCACACAAATCAGATGGAAGAGATGGCCAATCTGGGGTCACTGAGTGACAAAACAATATATAACAAGTTATAGCTCAGAAAATAAAACAAACCTCAAGACACACTGCTACAGCTATCAATGGACAGCCGAGTCTGACAAATGACAGGCAGAGACTGTGACCTTGAATATCAAAACTTGAGCAGATATGAAGAGGTTCTCAAGAGACTGAAAAGGCGTACTGTGTCACTTCACCAAACACTAAGGTGTGAGTGAGCAGCAGTAATAAAAGAGGGCAGCTTTCTAAGCAGTATCTGGGTACACCTGGCCAGATGGTAAACAAGGAAGCACAAATAACTGGAGGGCCTGTCACGGGTTCTGGGAAGACCTCCACTAGCCCCATGGCCTGAGCTCCTTCACAAAACAAGAGGGGATGAACCTGGCTGCAGTCCTGCAGCAGTTTCCTCTTGGGAAGTATCTTCACTTCCAGGAAGCATGCTTACATGGGGACAGAACAGACATCAGAGACTGTCTCTAAAGGAAAAATATCCTTTTATTTCTGTGGCAGCTTTTCTGTCAGTAGGAGACTGTTTCTGACTTTCAAATGTACATCAAAACCAAGAATTAAATAAAGTATATTTACAGAGGAGTCTTCCCTAACATACACATTGTCTAGAGGCATTACAGAGAATGAAGGGCAGGAGCCAAGAAAGAGTAAACTGGTCAACAACTTTTATCTTTTGTTTAGAAATAGTTCTGATGTCAGCAACTGGACATAAGTTTGTCTCTGTTGCCTCCCTACCCATCTGCCACCACCCAAAGATATAATCAAGTCCAACCCTGATGCCTACAGATGGGCCTTACTTGGAAAGAGGCTACCCTTATTAGGGTGAGATCATGAAGGAACAGAAGAGCTCTTATCCAGTGACCGTACAGGATAGAAACAAACAAAGAGACTGGGGAGATGATGAAAACAGACTGTGGAGATGTGTCTAGAAACCAAGCAATGTCAACAGTTCCTCTGTGCTGTCCCAGCTCAGATACAACACCCACCCTGAGCACTAGCAACCTGGAACTGTGTGGATCAGGTCCCACCCAGGACCTCATATTACTTCTTGGGCTACACACATGGCCATCCTCACTGCCTTAGCCTTTTATCTCCTTGGGGTAACAGGACTACCACAGTCTGCTTGGACTCCAGTTCCCTGGATCCTGGCAGAGAATAGGGGGGGACTGCGGGCTTGCCCTGGTGTCAACTTTCAGAGCCATAGTCTTTCCCACTGGTTGAGACCAGGAAGCAGGTATGGTCTCATCTGGCTTGCCCTTTTCTAGTGAGGGGGCCAGCGGGGCACCAGGTACTGTGAAAGTCACAGGAAGATTAGAAAATGAAAAAACAAAACAAAAACAAACATAAAAGCCACATCTTGACTTTATGACCCAAGCAGATGTTAATTTACATGGGTAAGTATTTTCAATGGAAGCCATGTTTTTTTTTGTTTTTTGTTTTTTTTTTTAAGATGCAGTATGCCTTGTTTAATAGGAACCAGGTTTTCTCATTCCAGTGACTTATATATGAAAATGTACACAGATCACATTTCTACTCCTCTAAAATCTTCAACTCACCTCACATGTGTCAGCAACTAGAGAAATCAGCATTCCCTATGTATGCATAAATAATTCAAGTATGGCCCTGGAGTCAGTTTTAGAAGGCTCTTCATTTGAAGTAGCCATCTTCAAACAATTCTACACTACCCAAGCTTCATAGGGATATTGGGCCCCTCCTTCTTCCAGTCCTACTAGGTCTCAGGATTGCCTACCAAAGAAGCAGCACACACCTGCAATGGGCACATAGCCGACACCCTGCTGGTACACAGTTGGCATTAGGACCACAGGCTGGGGTGGCATCATCATGGCAGCTGGGAGGGACTGCAACAACAAAGAAAAACATGGGGGTCAAAGAGGACATATATGTAAATCTTGTTACTTCTGGTCTCACAATGACAATCCTAGCCTCAGCCCAGGCTTTAACACCCAAGAACATAGAGTCCTCAGAAAGAATATAGTGGCCTTGGCTACTGGTTCCATCTGCACCAACACTCCAAAACACACCACCTCCCCTTGACTGGAAGACTTGGGCTAAGACATGCTGTAGACTCACAGAACTACACTTACTGAAATGTGACCTAGAATAGGACTAGGCTTGGGAGACACATCAATTAGGAAAGTGTTTGGTGTGCAAGCATGAGAACCTGAGTTTAATTCCTAGCACCCATATAAAGTCAGTGTGGATGGCACATTTCTATAAATCCAGAGTTAGGGAAGCAGAGACAGGAAGATGCTGGAAGCTCACAGGTTAGCCAATCTAGCAGAATAAATGAGCTCCAGTTTCAGTGATAACAAAAGTTAGAGTGTCAACCACTGGCCTCTCATGAGCTGCCACCGCTACCACTCTTCACACAAAGCTCACTTCAGGGTCTGTTTTGGAGACATCATCAGTATCAGTAGCTTCTCACAGAAGTACTGAACTGTTTGATTTTGTTTAAATTTATTTAATGTGTCTTAGTATTTTGCCTGCATGTATGCATATGCATCATATGTATGCCTGGTGACAATGATGTTTAGATTAGAGCATCAGATTCCCTAGAACTGGAGTTACAGTTGGTTGTGAGCTGCCATGTGGATGCTGGGAATCAAACCTGTGATGTTCCACAAGAACAGCCAGTGCTATTTCCTGTTGAGCCAACTCTCTAGCCCCCAGTGTAAATAATCTTGAACTGAAGGTAAGCTAGTACAAAATGAACCTGTGCTACACAAAGTGCCTATTAAAGACAGGTAACACTAGCTGGGCGGTGGTGGTGTATGCCTTTAATCCAAGCACTCAGGAGACAGAGGCAAATGGATCTCTATGAGTTTGAAGCCAGCCTAGTCTACAGAGTGAGTTCCAGGAGAGCCAGGGAGGGCTGTTACACAGAGAAACCCTGTCTCGAAAAAAAAAAACGAAATGAAACCAAACCAAACAAAAGACCCCTATACACCCAAAGGAGAGACATGCAGAAAGGTCAAGCTGAGGAGGCCTGCACACAGGATGCTTTATACTTCCATGTTCTCACAGGCTCCATAGCAACCAAAAAGAAAAGGCCTGGATGATAGAAAGGAGACAGTGGAAGTCTAGACCCCCAACCCTGCCTCCCATGACTTTCCAAGGTCCAGGGAGCCATCGCTCCCTCAAGGAGGTGCCACAACCTCTTTGAGTGTGGCCTCTCCAGACAGTGAACTCACCGTGTAGGACATGACCAGGTTGATCATGCCTTCCTTGTCATCACCCTGCCTCCCACTCAGGCTGTACCACTCATCCTCCACTTGGCCTTGCTTCAGGGACTCAGGGATGGTGATGTGGGTCCAAGCTATACGGTCATCCATGGAGAAGGCTCGCTGAGGAGGACAAGAGTAAAGTGACTTCATCGTGGTCCACAATGACCCATGTTACAGAGACCAGCTTTACCTATGGTTTTAACTCCACCCAGGCTGCCATTTGTATCTTCTATCTTCTTGGCAGAACTGGGTTCTTCCTCACTCCTCCAGCTTCCTTCAAGGAGCTTCCCATTAAACCACAGTCCCAGACCTGCATGAGTCACCTGAAACCTGACCACAACTTCTGCACCTTCTGAGTAACCACCATAAGGTCAGGCCAAAGGACAAGAAGGGATCTCTGGGCTGTCATCCTGGCTCAGGGATGGACACTGTCCTCCCCAGTCCTTGTGGGACTAGATATAAGCTGCAAGTCTCAAGACAAGTTAAGTACAGAAGACGCAAGAACTCCAAACCTCCTTTTCATATCCTACTATTCTAAGGACATGAAGGAGAAAGGGATCAAAAAACAAAACAAAACAAAACCAGGAAGAGGCAGTGGAACAATACAAGGGGGAAGCTACATCCTCCTGGCTGGGCTGCCCATGCCCAACTCCTCTCTAGTCTACACTGTTCTCATTTTCTCCCCACTGCCCTTTGTGCTGGTTTAAGGAGGCAGATACCTACAAGCTCTCTAGAATTAAGCTACCAGGAGACACCTTCAGTCACCTGAACTTTCTGACTGCCCTCAAAAAGCTGCATGTCTAAATGCTGGTATGGCCATGGGACACTGCTGACAGAGCCTGTGACTCACGCCTGCAAGAACAGTGTTCCCACCACTTCCCACCATTAGTGGAGTCTGATTTGCTTGAAATCTGACCTACCCATGAACAGCTATTTTCACACTCTGCCCACATTCATATCACTGGTGATGTTTCCCAATGGTCACTGTCAAAGGAGCTGAGAGAGAAAAAAGCTGTACCTTGTCATTCAGCCACTAAATGCCAGGTGTCCAGGGAGGTCACACCCCGTCATCCAGCCACTAAATGCTAGGTACGCAGGCCTGAGCAGCAGTAGCGCAGTCTCATGACTATAATTGCTGGCGGACTGCAGTATACCTAAATCTATCAAATCTCAAACTTGGCTGATCTGTGACATTGGGGCATCCCTCACCTCATCGAAGATCTCAAGGTAGAACGAGTCCACACCTGGGGGCACCGTGCACTGGATGACCTTGTTCCAGCGAGGGTTCTTAGCACCATTATGTGCTGTGGGAGTTTCATAAACAGCATAGCCCAGACGCAGACGGCAATAGGGGTCCATACGAGTCATGCCATAATTCTTTGCCAATTTTGCCTGAAATAACAAGTTTAGAAAAATGAGGCACCCACCAGCAAAGAGGAAGGCAAGTGCTTACCTAAACTGCTTACCTCACAGGTATTTTTCAGTGCATAAAAAAACAGCCTTCAAGTTCACCTAACCTTATCAGCAACTGGCTCTTGAACATGGTGCCAGTCACTGCTGAACTCACACAACTGGGAACCTGGCCACACTTGACAGTGGGCAACTTAGACAAGATCTCTAATCTAACTGTGCACATCCTAGGCCTCAGAATGGAGCTTAGATTGAGCAGGAACTATGGTGTGCAGGGCAGTTGTACAACCCAGCTGCTGCAAAGGGGTTAGAGTAACCATCCTCAGGGAGGACACTACCCAGCATGAACCAACACTGGTTGTATCATAGGCAGAACCCTGGGAAATCAACAGGACTCTACTGATTTTTCAGGGATATTTTTAGGAATAACTAGAATAAACAGAGTTCTATTTGTCCGCTTGGTAATTGAGTTGCACTACCTTTTCTCCTCAGCCCCATCAGTCTTCAGCAGGAAACTGAGACCCACCTGTACTACAGTAATGCTGAGGCGACCCACAGTGCCAACTGCTCCTCCATACTGCAGCTGCTGGGCTGCCTGGGCATCCAGCTGGATCTGCTGCTGCTGCTGTGTAGGCGTTATACGAAGGAAGTCCTGGGGGAGTTCACCAATGTACACCTTCCAGTGAAGATAAAAAACAACAACAAAAAAGAGTAGAGTCAAAGTATGTAGCCAAGCAATCTCACGGTACTATCCTACTTCCCTTGGACCAGTGTTCACTCAGGCCCAATCCAGCTCACTCTCACCTCACCAAGGCCTAGAGGATGCTTAGCTTGCTTTTTCACCCACAAGAGTTTCCAGCCTGCCTTCATTTGAGCTTGCTTCCCCTGAAGATGAACACCTTCTTATTCAGACAGTGCTCAAGACAAAGCCTGGGGCCCAAGATGGACGGGCCAAGGACCAGTGAGGGCAACCTTGGGAGCAAGCATCTATAGCTTCAACCAGGGTGTGCCAACAGAAGGCAGAATTGTTCGTTGCCTAGTGGGTACAGGTCTGAGGGTTACATAGAGGAAATGTCCACAATTAAGGAACAGCTGCTGAAGCTCTGTAGGCCGAAAAGTCCACTGCAGGAAGGGCCTGAGCACCAAACCACCTGACCACCCAGGTGCCTAGGACAGTCCCACCATGCATAGGTCTCTAGCACATACACTTTCAAAGACATATGACCAAAGTCATAAATGTGAGCTGTAACAAAGTGAATTTACTGCGAGCTGCTGGGTAACCAGGTTCTGTGACCCTGACTACCTCCACTGCACACACTACTGCCTATTCCACCTAGCTGTGTGCTTCCACTGATATGCATCACACATCACATAGACTTCCAGTTTCTGCAGGTTTTTCAGCTCACAGCACCTGTCTTCGAGGGGTCTGGCTGATCTTTTCAAAGGTTCCTGAAAAAAGCCGGTAAAATTGCTCACTCCTGCAATCCCAGTACTTAAGAGACTGAGGCAGGGAGTACTGTGAGTTCAAAGCTATCTGGCTACATAGTGAGTTTCAGGACAGCTTGGGCTATAAACCAAGACCCTGAGTCAAAAAAGAGATGAAGCTGGCCTGATGATGTTCCCACTGCTCTCCTCCAACTTGGAAAAAAAACAAAACAAAACAAAACAAAAAACAAAAACAAAAAACCACTGTCATGCTGTCTGGTAGGGGATGTAGGCTGTGAGGGATAACTACTTAGCAGGATGGCCCTCTGCACCTCTGGAGTCACTAAGTCCACAGCCAGGCTCTCACATGCAGAGGCTTCCTGGAAAGTAGCTGTTGCCAGTGACACCCTCTCTTACCAAGAGAGGCACAGTTCCCAAGGCCAAAAGTCTCTCTGGGACAGGCAACCTTTTCCAAGGCACATCACACAGACTTCCAGAGAGTCCAGGGAGAGCCAAGAAAGGGCTGTGACACAAGAAGCCAAGAAACAGTGTCTATGGTATACAGGAAACACTGGGTCCTTCCGGAGGAATTCCTGGCTCATACTGTGCTAGTTGTAGTGAATTTAAAGGGTGCAACTCCAAGATGCATAACCAACTTTATGCATTATAAATAGGTTATTAGCAAAACCAGACTTCCTTCAGCCAGGTTCTTAGGATTAACATACATAGGTAAAGTTCTCACTCGTCATAGGAACAACTACCAATTGTATGTCATGTATTACAGCTTCAGAGTCATAGCAGGGCACACCTATGTCTCGTAGAGATGTACCCAGGAGGGCAGACAGGCCAGTAGGTATTACAGTGATAGGTTAGGATACATGCAGTCCAGGGGCAGCTTCAAACATAGAAGTCAGGAAAGGCCAAGTAGAGCAAGCAGAGAGAGCTGTTTTTTTATTTTAATTATTTCTTATCTGTCCCCTTCTTAGGACTGGGACCTTCAGACACTGAGATTTCATATTATACTCTTCCAGGTTTTCATTAAAGAGAAAGAGACTATTGGGGATGGGGGATGGTTAAGATAAAATGTGGTTAGAGGTATAGCTCTGTGGTAAGGCACTTGCCAAGCAAGCACAATGCACTAGGCTCAAAGGTTTTAATACTTTTGCCCTAAAAAGATCAAATTCAAATGTGCTATTTTTCAATAAAAATTTAATCTTAAAATTATAAGAAAGGAAAATGTTAACAATGTGAGTTTAACTGTGTTATTAAAGAGTAGAAAAACAACCTTATGGTAGAGAAAGCTAAGGCTAACTAACTGCCTTAGCCAGGTGAACCATCATTCAAGCAAGGGATGTGAAACACCACTCCGAATAATGTACCTTCTCCAAAAACACCAAGGGCAGTCTGAAAGATGGTCAAAGGCAAGGCAAGGAACTAAGAGGTAACCACAACAGGGAGGGAAAAAGCTGAATCTGGAACCAGTTTCATGGCAGTAACAATGAATGGTCTGTGGCCATGACATTAGGGTAAAATACAGTGATAAAGGGGAGAATATTTTTCTATAGAATTTTCTTAAATATAAAATTATTCAATTCATAAATTTAGTAGAAAAAATTTTGCCTTAACCCAAAGAGGGAGCAGGAAGGGATGGGAAAGACTTTAGCCCAAACCAGACAAGAAACAATCTTGTTATACAATCAATACTTGCTGTCCTAGGAAGGAAAGGCAAGCCTGCCTGTTGCTGCAGTCCCCCCGATGATTTCTCTAAAGATACCTCATGCTACACTTAAAGGAAGTCACACTGTTAGCATAATGAGGAATGCTTCAAGAAAAAAAGGTGAATCCAGGCATTGGTGCAAATTAATAAAAGTCAATGACCACATAGGAAAATGCCACCAATAAACAGCTAATTTTAGAAAAGTTTTATAATACAGGGTTAATCATAAAATTTATTTTTGCCATATATTGGTGGAGAAAATGTTTGGTCACATAAAAAGGTATATTTTTATCATGGCTTAAAGACTTAGGAATGTTAAATGATGAATTCTGTTAACAGACTCACAATGGATCTTTTTATAGTTTTATTTAAATTGAGTCCAATACTAACAAGTGACTTAAACATGTAGATTAAACAACTTCACTTCCAGGCTCAAGACCCATGGAAAAGCTGCAGGATTATAAGGGTAGGTATGCTGAAGCCTTGTGGCCTGGGAAAAAGAAAGAACCACCAAGCAATGTCCGACTTACCTAACCAGAAGCATCTGTGTGCCCCAGACTCACAGTCCTCAAAAAGAATGGGGTATTTCTGTATCCCTTAAAGAATGCAAGGAACCCTAGGACCCTGTCCAAAAGGAGGAGGCAGTAGGCAGGGCACACTAGGTTTCACCCTTGGCTCTGTGTAGCACTTGATGGCAAGTAAAAGTAGGAACAGGCAGACTAATCTAGTGAGTGAGGGGATTCAATGATACCCAATCCTTGCATCTAAGGCACACAGCCTATGGGATGGACTGAGAAGCAAGTTGTCTCTCCTAGGGTTATCCAAAGGCTTTTGGTGTGCCCAGCATGAAGGACCTGCCTGCTAGCATGTCTAGGACAACACAGAAAAAGGCAAGAAGCTGCTAGTCTACAGAGTTCAGAAAAAAAAAAAAAAAAGATAAAGACACAGTTCAATGGGTGTATAACTTGCATGCGTGTGTGCATATGTGTGAGGCAATGGCAACAGCAAGACTACAGGAAGCAAGGGAGAATTCCAAAGATGCACCAGCCAATAGTTTGGAGCCTCTATGGCAGCTGGGCAGAGGTGGATCTGTTGCCTGGTACCAAGGCCAGTACAGCCTTCCAGAGCCAGACATCATACACACAAGACTAGCTGATGCTGTGTCTCCCTAGCTGCCACAGCCAGCCCCAATCCCTGCCTTCAACAGGTACACTGCAACTGCATACTCCACCTGTACCCAGCTGCTGTCTCTCTGGTGGCAAAGCAGAAATGGTATCTGAAAAGGATTTCATCACAGAAATAATTATGTTTTCTAAAAAATGAAAAGTAACTCATAAGGACCTAACAGCTCACTAGTTCATGGTATTTCCCACAGGCTGGGTCTGGTGTACTTTCCATGCATAAACTTGGCACATCCTCACAAGTGCTGACAACAGTTCTATAAACAGTAACTGACTCTCAGTCAGAACTGAAACTGCACTTAAAGGTGTGCTGTAATTTACACCGAAACTCCAAAGAATGGAAGAGAAGTAAAATAGTGACTGGGATGAGAGCAGGGCAGACTTATAGTGGACTGAAAATCTACTGTCCACTGCAACTCTTCACAGAGCCCCCAGGACCTACAGTGAAGGACTCTAAAAGATTCTCACTTGAAAGTAAGGCAAAGGGACCATGACAACAGACACAAAAGGACTGGGAAGAAAATGACACATCTCAGAACTGAACAAGCATTGACTACATAAAACCACTGTTGCTCAAAGGAAAGCAGAGCCATCACACATGGCACAACAGCACCAGGTGGCCAGCTGGTCACCACCAGCTATGATGATCTTTGCACAGACTGGAAGAGACAGAGAGGTAAACCAACTTCAAGTCTGCAGTACTGTGTGTTGAAATTCCTAGGGTAACTCCCTACAAAAAGAAATACACAATACTTTTACCAAACTCGTGAAGAATTTACTACTGAACTGATTTTTTAAAAAACTATGCTTGGTGAATCAAAGCAATAATAGAAACATGTAGGACAAACAGAAGTCTAAAAGTGTTTTAAAAAAATACAAGTATACATTTATCCTATATAAAATAAAGCTATTTAATAGATTCTACTACAAACTTGTACTTCTTAGGTTTGATTTTTAAGGATACAGCTGTATGCTGATATGGATAGATCACTCTTAAACACAAATGTTGAATAAAATGTAAACTAAAAAAAAAAAACCTGTCAAATACTTTCTAGAAAAGTACTATCACACACAATAAGAGGCCAGTGGAGGTCACATTTGGTGGCCACAGCCTGATGCAGGAATGCTAGATTTGTATCCAGGCATATAGCCTTACATCAAAATCCATGAGGATGCTGGAATTAAACCTGGGTCCTTTGGAAGGGCAGTGTTTAACCACTGAAACATCTCTCTAGCCCCAAAAGGGTGATTTTTGAATTTGAGCCTATGTTCTGCCCTTGGTAACTGGGTCTGTTGTTAAAGATAAGCTTTTCCCATCAGCCAAAGGTGCCTTGGTTGTCCCTAAACAGTTTCTAAAATAAGGCAAAATACAGGTTCCTTAATTTCTAGTAATAGAGGAAAGAGTTCTCTTCTTTAGGGTGTGTGTCAGCTTTCTTTCTGAGTGTTACTGCATACTGATAGTTTTCAATTCACCTGTGTGAGTTAGCAGCCTCTGTGTCCATGCCACCTCACAGAGCAGAACCTGAGCAAGAGGTTGTGCTCACAGCAGCCACAAGGTCTGTCTCTCTATGTCCCTGGGAATGTCTGTTCTGGATTCTGAGGTGAGGATATGCCTAGGCACAAGTCTAATATCCCTGCATTAGGCTATGGCCACCAGGTGGTGACCTCGACGGGCACCAAGAATGAACAAGGCTATATATGGGCAAAATATTCTTATACATAAAATAATCTAAAAAATTTTTAAAATCATCTTTTGTCATCTCTAATCAAGTCACTGGCTCAGTCACAATTACCAGGGAAGAACAGTACTGATGAGGTTCCAGACAAGCATAGGCACTAAGAATAACCCACAGAATGAGGAGGGGCAGAACCAGAGCCAGTGGCCTTTGGCAAAGCTCACTGGTTAGCCGGCATCTCAAGCAGGACGAGTTCCCATCTGCTGGACTCCACAGAACATATCTATAAAAGAGGACCTTCAAAACACCACCCTTACATCTGGTGCACTCTCACAAGAAGTAGGGTCCTTAAAGTCACTCACTGTAGGAAAGGAGTAGGTATGTGGACTAGGTAGCAAAAGGGATAATTTCAAAATACCAGCCTTTTCAAATGGGAGATGGATATGATAGATTGTAGTGTCCTATGGTGGCTATTTAAAAACAAACAAACAAACAAACAAACAAAAACCCTAAAAAATGCGAAATACTAAATGTCCTAGGACAAAACTTAATCCTTCACAATTATGTGGGTGCTGGCTGCCTTCCTCATGTGTGCCCTGCTCACCCAAATCTTCAACCAAGAATAGAGAACCTTCCTAGCTCAGATGAGTGTGCCCTTTGCCTTCTATAGCCACCCAGGACACTGTCAGTCCTTTTCTACTCATCAGAGGTGAAGGTCAGCTGTAGAGACAATGCCCAAGCCTAGTCCAGGCTCCTGGGATGGGGACTCTGAACCAGAACCTAACTCCTTGCTGTGGCTACACAAAGAAGGCTGCCTATAGAACTCAGTACTGACCAAATGCATACTTTATCTATGTTTGGAAGCCAGCATTCTGTTTATCTTTACAGCTCCACAACCCCCTGAGTATGGCATGAATAGTAGAGAAGAACTACCATACTCTGACAGTTCTACTAGACCCAGACAACTGGCAAAAAAAAAAAAAAAAACACCTTTGCAAATATTAATGAATCCAGAGGAATATGGGTAGATCATTCTAGGTGAAGCAGCCAGTGAAAAGTTGAAAACTGAAAAAGGCATGCACTCTGAGAAACAACACTTACCATATGAACTTCAAGACCTTCTATTCAATAAGAGACCCTGGTCATAACCCATTCACTCATCCCACACCAAGTCCATACCTTTCTGCTTTCGATGGTTAGGAGCACAGACCTGATGGTGACTGTTATGGCTTTATATGAATCACATGTTTAGCTGTGTCCCTGTGCTCCACACTTGTGGCTCAGGGTCCAATCGCTCTAAATCTTGTGGTCACTAACACTACGATGAAGTCTTGCACATGCCAAGCAAAGTCTGAGATAACTATCACTGATGACAAATTCTTAGAGCCCAGATACAAGGTTACAAGTCAACAAGAGTGCGCCTAAAACCATTCAGCTGCCTATGTTTATTTATAAGACTATGTGGTCCCTAAAACACTGGGCAAGTAGAAAGATCAAACGTCAGGACTTGACTTTACAGATTCTGCTAGTATGAACATCATCTGACACTCTCAATTACTCATCACAGTGTAGGTTATTCCAGCTCTGTACACACAGTACCAGTTTCCCTCAGCAACAGGGAAGGATAACTTCTCACTCAATTAATGGTAGGCGCTGAGATCATCATCAGATGAATTCAAATGCAGCCCAACCACAGAAGTAAGGACACTCTCTAACACACAGTAAGGAAGGGTCCATTCTGCCTGGCCATGTGTCCACTTGGCAGGACATATGAAAAGGGCAAAGTACTGGCTCCCTTTCTTTTTTTGGCAGCCACTAGAAATCTTCTGTAGTTTGGTGAGACACAGTGAGGATGAAGTAGGGTTGCTGAACATGAAGGCCATTTCACGGGAAAGCTCCATATCAAGTATAACAATGGGTCAGGAGGTCTGGCTTTAAAGCCCTCCAAAAAAGCACCCTGCCTGGGGCTTTCTTCAAAGTCAGAAAATCAGTCTTATGCGCGTACACACACACAGACACACACACACACACACACACACACACACACCCACACCCCTGGGGCTTTCTTCAAAGTCAGAAAATCAGTCTTATGCGCGTACACACACACACACACACACACACACACACACACACACACACACACACCTCTGAAATACCAAGCTGACAGGGTGAGGGACCTGGGAAACCAAAGGCTTTGCCGACACTTTCAAAATGAACTCCAGGGAAAAGACAGTGCAGCCATCAGAACTGCGTTCCACTACACAAGCCACTGTTAGCTAACAACATCCAACCCACACCAGTCTCAGAGGGCTATGGGGAGAACATCCACACTAGAGGTAGAGGAGACACGTAGGTAGTTTCGTGGACCCCAAGATAACCCTTAAGAAACATAACTGTTGGGTCTCCCAAGTTCTCTGCTCCCTCCTCCTCATTTACAGATGGACAACTGAGGCTTGGAAAGGTAGCCACTAACTGGGCCCCGGAGATAGCATCCTGTTCTCTATAGGTGCTGGGAGAGGAGGAAACTGACACAACTAAGGACTGACTACCAAGTGGGATGTCTCTCCTGGGGAACCGAGGGTGTCCGGCCCCACTCCTCTGTGAGATCATGGGAGACAAGACTATCAGTTTGGGAAATTCACAGGATCAGAACCACTTTCCATCTGGGGAACCAAGTGTCAGGGCCCATGTCCATCTGAAAGAGCATGGGATTGGTACATCTGGGGAAGTAAGGGGGTTCGGGGTCCCTCTCAGTCTGGGGAACCAAAGAGGGTGGGTGCCCCTCTCCCAATGGGGCCAGGTCCCTCTCTGTGGAGGACTAAGGGATTCAGGTCCCCTCTACATCTAGGGGCACGGGGGTTTCAGGGCCCGTGGGCATCCAAGGAACCATCAAGCTCTGCCTTCTTCCACTCGCCAGACCCTCAGGACCAGAGTCACTACTCCGTATGGGGTACCCGAAGGTGGGACCCGCGCAACTCCGGGACGGCCGAGCAACTCGCTAGGAGCCCCGTGAGGGGCTGAGAAGAGGAGCCGGATCTCGAGCTCCATTGCCCCAGTCCGACCCTCGCCCAGAGGACTCACCGGCCCGCGCTGCGTGCTGACGGTGGTCGCCATGGTGCTGCGGCGGCCCTGTGCCTCAGCGACCGCACAGAGACCCGCCGGGAGAGCTCTTCCGCCCCCACCACAACCTGCGTCGCTGACCGTTGTCCCGCGAGGCAATCTGCGCCTCAGTCAGCTGACAGTCGCCCCGCCCCGCCCCACCCCGGCGTTCCCAAAGCGCAAGCCGCTTCGCAATGGCTAATCCCGCCCCTTCCGGCTAATCTGCGCATGTGTACTACGAGCTGGGGGGGGCTGGGTGTGTGTCGGGTTAAGTCTCCCGTGTACGCCTGCGCAGTGGCTCATTCCTGGAGTACTGTTAACCTCTTAAAATGGCTGCCAGACTGTCCGCGCATGCTCAAACCTGAGCTTTTCCTAGTGGAAGCCAGTCTGTTGATCCAGGAGCAGACGCCTGAAACGTGGATGTTTATCTCAACTCCGTCTAGTCATCACGACGTTCAGTCACCTGGATGGAGATAGCTATGAGATCACCACCAGCAGGTGCCTGATCTGCTTGAAGAGAGGAGAAAACTGATGTTTGGCAGCTTGAGGAGAAAGCAGATGGCAGTAAAACCAGTTAGTTACCTTCAAGCCCTTGAATTACTTCAAATGCTGTGGGAGGAAGAACATTTATATTTAAATTTTAAAAAAAGAAGCCAAGCTGAAGGAGAGTGAGCTGGAACACTTCCACCAGCCTTGAACTTGCTAAATCAATGGATGAGATGGAAGATAGGTTCCCTAGGAAACACAGGCCACCCACTCTTGCCTCTTCAGAGCACTCTCCTCAGAAGGACCTTTGGCCAAATAGGCTCAGTATCGTTCCTGTAAGAAGTTTACCCTATGGTGGTCTCAGATCTACACGTCCCTTTTCACTTGTGCTGCAGTACACCTGGTACTGCCTAGTACCAGATGTACTCCTAGTAAATTTCTTCACTCACACCGTTTTCTCTTGTGTTTCTTTCGTCTCTAAGACCACATCTTCTATCTCCATTACCAGTCTCTACCTTGATAGCACATGGGACTTCACCTGGGCTCTGTCCCTAAACAGCTGTCTATCCAGTTCTCACTGATCTCCAGCTCCTGTTTCCTGAAATGTTATCTCTATGCTGATAAAGCTAAGACAGACCAGGACACAAGACTCGACGCCCAATGTGGCAGACAATTTAAGAGACCCCACGATCCCTTCCTGGTATTCACATCACTGTACAGTCCTTTCCCCTTGGTTATAGACAAAACCTGTGACTTGTGCCTAAAAATGCAAAAGACATCCTGCAAGTTGTGTAAGATTGTATCTGGATAGCAGACTAGGAGGAACCCCTTTTCACTGAGACCAGCTCAAACTGATCGGGTTTGGGATGTTCACACATATGCCCTTTAAAGGATCCCAAATCCCTCAACATTAAAGAGGTAAAACAAACAAAAGTGGGGGGGGATTGTTACTGAGGAAAAACTCTACCCCATAAAATGCCCTAGTAAGTCCCCAAAGTCAGTTCAAGTGGCATAGTCTGTCAGAGCAGAATCACAGCATTTGCTCTCCTTTGACTTAAAGCTCTCTAGTGGTGGTGGTCACATGGCAGTACAAAACCTTGTTTCTACTAGATTTTCTGTAGGTAGCAGCAGCTCTGGTGTATGTGGGCTATGATAGAATTTGCCTAGGTTGTTTTGCAGAAACTTGAAAACTACTTGAATACTGACTCTCCACTCAGTGGAGAGATGTTATGAATAGCAGAAAACGGATGAAAGACATCTCTGTCTTCATCATCTTGTATTTGTCTCCCTTGCTGCCTTCATCTTGATTCAGATTTATGGTACTTTTCTATTGATAACACCAGGGAAATTTAAGGAAGAGTTAATTTTGGTCTTATGGTTTCAGAGGGTTAGAGTCCATGATGGTAGGAGGGAGTAGGTAGCAGGTAGCAGGTAGCAGGTAGCTGGAGCAATGACTGAGAGGCAAGCAGGACACAGAGAGAACATTAGGAATGACATTGGTCTATTGAAAACTCAAAGCCTGTCCCCAGTGACACACCTCCTCCAATGAGGCTACACTTCTTAATCCTTCTCAAGTAATTACACCAACTGAGGATCAAGTATTCAAACCCAGGCCTATGAGCTCAACCACAACAAGATTTTACTCAATTCTTCATGTAGACACATAGAAACTACGGGGAATGTGTTTTTGCTGAGTAGTGACACATATCTATGATCCTGAAAATCAGGAGGCTGAGACAGAAAGAGGATTGGGAATTTGAGGCCATCCTGGGCTACAAAGCAAGGAGGAAGCAGTTATGTACAAGACTGCTATGCACAGGGCTAACTTGTCCATTGAGGCTGGCATGTGCTGCTTTTTGCCAACCACAGTGACTCAATTATCTAAGGTCCCGTGGCCTTTAAGGTTCAGACCAAATCACAAGACCAGGATGTTTAAGCAAGACACTGATACTAGCTCTAAACATAACCTATAACTTCTTGGGTTAAGTCAGCTGAGTAAATTTCAAGGCCAAAATAATTTTCCAGAAGAAGGAGAATATGCCCATGGGCAATGAAATATTTCCAAACTTTAATCTTCGCCATAAAAATCAATAAAAGCCTGATGCTTCCTTAATTGATCAAGCAGCCTTGTCACTTCTTTAACTGGAGTTAAGTCCCTCTGCTCATGAGCTGAAATCTCAATAAATCTTTGACTGTCTTGTCCATCATATTGGGCTTGGTGTCATTTCTTTTGCTTCCATACTGTAAGATCCAAGGTGGTAGTTAAAAAAATGTATAAGATCATCAAAACACATTTGGTTATGTACTCGAGTGATGGGGGATATCCTTCTGTATATATATTTCTCTTATTGGTTGATGAATAAAACACTGTTTGGCCAATAAGACAGGAAGATAAGTGGAACTAGGAGACAAGGAGAATTCTGGGAAAGGTAGTCAGGGAGATACTTCAAAAAGACACCATGTAGCTGAGGAAGGAGGAACTAGTCCGGACCCTTCTCTGTTAAGATGAGAGCACATGGAAATATTTAGATTATTAGAAATGAAATAATAATTAAGACAGAGCTAGCCAATAAGAAGCCTTAGTAATTGGCCAACAGTTTTATAATTAATATGTCTTTCTGTGCTTATTTGGGACTGAAACGGGTATGGGATCTGACAGACAAAGAAAAACTCATGCAACACTTGAGATATCTGTGTTATGATGTACACAAGTTTTATCTCAATGATTTAAAAAATTAGTGACAAAACATCTCCTATGTATCTGACAGGGTTGCTAGTCTCAGCTCATTAAAAAGCCCAACACATTTATAAGAAAATGTAAATAAAGGAGAAACTAGTTGGAAGCAACGTAATTGTCCTTATACCCATTGTTGCGAAGTATTCGCCCAGGGCTCATGTGTTTAGCATTTGGCCCCAGTTGGTAACCCTGTTTTGAAAGTTTGCTAGACCTTTAGGTGATGGAGGAAGTGGGTCATTGGAGCCAGGCTTTGAGGTTTCTAGCCTGGTCTTACTTTCTGCTACCAACTGCTCCCCTGCTGACCCACCTTCCCCCAACATGGGCTGTACCTTCAAACCGTAAGCTGTAACAAGCCCTTCCTGTCTTATTTCTTTTTTTCAGGTACATGGTCACAATAATAAGAAAAGTAACTAGCACACAACTCTATGCATTCTTAGGAATAAGGGTTCATTGTGGGGTGGAGGGAGCCAAAGAGAGATACCTGGGTTCAACTGAAGCACCAGCTGCTCCATCCAGAGAAGCATGTTTTGTGAGAATAGGGAGGAGCTTGAGTTGCTGAAGCCCCTTCTCCATGAATTAATGGATTGATGTACAAAAGGACCTAGACTATAAAGTGTTTATTTTTAAAGGATTTTAAAGACTCAAATATTCAGGGTACAATCAGGTGCCAAGTGTTACATTTAAGCATAGTTCAAGATATTTTAATTAAATGCTTGTTCGCCAGAATGTGGACAGGGATAAAAAGGTTCAGATGTCACTTTGGTCTGTTGTGGATTCTTTTGTGGTATAAGCAGTTGTGTGTGTGTGTGTGTGTGTGTGTGTGTGTGTGTGTGTGTGTGTTTGTGTGTGTGTGTGTGTGTGTGTGTGTGTGTGTGTGTGTTGCATCTCCCAAGGGAAAAATGTCTCATAATAGTGTCTGTCTATCTGTCTATGAGTATATGCTTGGCACACTGCATGTGTCAGAGGACAATCGTGGGAATTTGTTCCCTCCTTCTACTACAATGGTCTTAGGGGTCAAACTTGGGTTAAGCTTGGCATCAGGCACCTTTACCAGCTGAGACATCTGGTTAGCCCACTATACTGCCATCTTAAAGTCTCTTTTCAATTTTCATGATATGTGTTCTCCTGCACACAAGTAAGTCATGACCTTGCTTTGCTCAGCTGCAGGTGTGATCTTAGGAGTAGCCAGAGGGCTTTGGCATACCCAAGGCTGGAACTTCCTAGTTCTGTGTGTATAGCTGTCAGAAAAGTCAGAAGTGAGTATTCCATATCCTAAATTAGATATTTCTTTAGTCATAGCAACTAAGTGGTTCAGCCCATGTCTACTTCATTTATTAGTCTTCTGCCTATGCTGAATTCCTTGTAGTTTGTCACCATATGATGCCAATTCCCAATGTTTCAGTCCCCCTAGCAAGGAGTATATCCATGTGCTTATCACTCTGTACTAGAATCTCACTCCAAGAGTCTGTTTCCTGGGACCACTTCTGCTACCAATTACTGTGTTAGTTGGGATCCCAGCGGGGAACAGATGGCATGCTCAAAAAATAATTAATGGGGACACTCTGTCCTAGCAACCACAAGTAATATGCTGATAAGACACCTAGAAAAATCAGCAAATCTAAGGATCTGTCAGAGAAGTAAGGGCATGGGGCAAATGCCCCCAGCAGATAAACTAGAAAGACATACAGGAGAAAACAAAAAAATTGTAATTCAGCAAAGCAGAAACCACAGGAGAACCTGGCATCTAATTGATGAAGTGCAAGAGGCTCAGGCTCCCAAGAGGACTTGGTATGAAGCTGCATGCTTTGGGAGACTCACCCTCAAGCACTCTACCAAGTTCTCACAGAGAAGATCTGTGAAACTCCTCCCCAAGCATCCACAGCAAGTAGAGAATGAGCCTGTTGTGAACTGTGTCACGTGTTCTACTTTTCTTAAG